CGTCGGCAACTAGCTTCACGCTGCACCAGCTCGCCTACCACCCGGCGGCGCAGCAGAAGGTGCATGAGGAGATAGATGCGGTACTCAGTAAATACAACAACAAGCTGTGTTACGATGCAGTGAAGGAGATGACGTACCTCGAGTGGACTTTCAAGGAAGCCATGAGAATGTTTCCTTCCCTCGGTTTTTTAATAAGAGAATGCGCAAAAAAATTCACATTTCCCGAAATCGATTTGACCATCGATGAAGGAGTCGTGGTTATGATTCCCGTTCAGGCGCTGCACAATGATCCTAAATATTTTCAAAATCCGGACGAATTTAGACCAGAAAGATTTAGTCCGGAGGAGTTTCAATCTGTAGAAAAATTCGTGTACCTGCCGTTTGGCGCAGGACCGCGAGCTTGTATCGGTGGGTAGAAAACATAATGGCTTATCTAGCTTTAGCTCATTAGATGAAGTTGAGGACATACAAGTTAAAATATGTGCCATCTCCTATTCATCTTCTCTTTTCCATCCTATCATTATCGGAAAATGATGTGAGTGGGGACTAAAATTTAGTTTAATTTTAGTCCCTTTCCCTTCCCACCCTTTTCTTATGAGGAAGGGAATGAAAGGGGAATGGATTTAGCAGAGAAGGAAACTCACATGATGAGGAAATATCCACTTTCTGCAACTTATCTGAAATTGCGTATGCCCGTCTGTGGACAGCGGTAACTTTGCTATTTCGACGTATTCTAGTGGCCGCTTGATCATTGGCCAATGTAACAAAAAATGGCCACACTTACCAAACGGAACATGGAAGAACTTTCATTTCATACCCATCTTCTATGCAGTCGGGGTGTGGCACTGGTGACGGGGATTTTTAAGCTGCAGCTAATGCAGCTGCGGTTTCTATCAATGTCTTGTTACCAATATTTAACAGTTTATGTGCCATGTCCTAAATGCACGTTAGCATAAGTTATCGTTATGATAGCCATGATTGCAGAGTATGTAAGGTAGTTGGTGTGCAGGCGAGCGGCTGGGGCAGATGCAGTCGCTGGCGGGGCTGGCGGGCGTGCTGGCGCGCTGCGAGGTTGCGCCGGGTCCGAGCACACTCCGCGTGCCGCGCGTGCACCCCGCCTCCGACATCGTGCAGTGCATTCGCGGCGGCCTGCCTCTGCGCTTCATACCGCGAACACCAAAACCTTAGTAGCTTCATATAGAGTAGGTGATTGTTATTTGTTTACAAATGTGCTGTGATAAGTGTATTATTTAGTTTTTCTATTCAAGAAGTTTGAGTTTAAATACATATAATGTTATAACGACCCAATACATAACGTATGTTTAACGAGAGACATTCATACATATGTATGTGTGTATACATGTGGGTACAATAAGATATCTGTAAAACGCGACGCGACGTGCCCAGCACGAGGCGGGCGTCGTCATCGAGTCGTCGCCGGTGACCAGCGAAGACGCAGGAACGTCTTGCAAACATTGCAACAAGCGTTCACTTAATTTTACTTTATTATTACCTTACTAGCATGTGATACTTTTATTAGAGAATTTTTATCAATATTTTTTTGTGAAGCTATCGACATAGAAATGCTATGTAATATATCTTAAGAAATAACATTGACGTTGCCTTTATTAGTATTTCGTGATGGTAATTTAATTGTCGCACATAACTTTTGGTAGCAATTACTTTTATCTAGTATTTTATCAATATCAATAGCGAAAGACATTTCATTTTAATGACGTTATGATGTGCCTCGGAGCAATAATTTTTTTATTGAATTGTTTTACGTGTTTCACTTTAATGTTATGTATAAAGATAGAAATGAATAAAAAATAAAGCTTATAACAATGCTGGGAAATATTTTTTAAAATCAAAAGTTTTTACTACAGTGTATGTAATTTAAATTTACGCTAATTATTCTTAACAGTGTTTATGGTAATAAGCACTCCAGGATAATTGGGATAAAGTCCAAAGCGTCTTGCAGCGCACTCTATCGTTTATGGAGATGTATTTCATTTGCAGCTACTGCCGTCAGATTGTAAACACAAACATCCTGCGTTGCCTCACCTCTGCTACATTGTACATAGCATCTCTTCTAATGCAGCCGATTTTGTTTAGATAAACTAAGAACAAACAATAACACAAGTCTGTATTACTTGCCTTGTATGTTACAAAATGTTTAGGTAGCAGTTCGGCGTTTTTATTGTCGAATAAACGACACAAATTGTTCGTCTGGCTGTTAGTTTTCACACTAGTGTTGTACGGTCCTCTCTCGCGGGACGCTGTCGTGAGGCGGGTAGGGGGGAGGGAGGTACCGGGACAAATGGCGCGCTCTGTCGCGCCGGTGCTGGAATCACGACGACTGACAATTTATAGCCACTCTTAATTACTGACAGTGAGTCCGCCAGCGCCCAATGCCAGTCGCACCTAGCAGTTGCACTTCGCAGTCGCAACACTGTCACCGATGTTAATACATATTTTATTTAACTCTACCTGCCTGTCACAAAATCTCATTTTCCACACGTACGTGGCATTATACTCTAGTTAGGGATTACATTTAAAGACAATTTTTAGTTTAAGTAGATAACGTTTCATTTCACTTATTCTCTATAGAGATATATTAACGAGTGAAACGACTTAGAGGAGGGTGGAAGTAAATATTAAAATTCGTTTACAGTCATGTCTGTCCTGAATGTTGTAATCCATCCCAACCAAACGGATTTAAGAGTTCAAATTACCGTGCAAGTAAGAAAAATTGATTTTCTGAGCTTGTGATAATGTTTGTCTCTTCAATTTGTTGGAGTTTGGTGTACAATGTAAACACAACGACTCGCTAAAGTTTACAGCGTTGATAATATCATAGAGTGTCACGTTTTATCACTTATTTTTAAATTAGTGCAAAATGTGATAAACCGTAAACTTTCTAAAGAACCAATTAATATCCTGCTACTTCTACAAACACATGTTATAGAACGACTTTTCTACGTCGTCATAGAAATATTACATTGAGATTACTGTCACACACTGTTGACTAGTTTTCCACGTAACGTAAGACGTGTAGCTTACGATTCTCAATAAAGATTGAGAACAAAATGGTGGGGCGCGGTGTCGGCGCGGCGGAGCAATAAAATGAGAAACAAATGCGATCCGTCGCAACTACTGAGTTACGAGGCAATCACGCGCCGGGCGCCCGGCGACAG